ATTTCTTTACATATTCATTGCATGCCGAAGACACGCATTCGAAGAGCGTCGAAGCATGCGCAAAATTTTTAGAGTCACGTTATGTGTTCCCGAGAAACGCGCGCGGAATATTAAGATTCTCAATCTGAAACGACAAGACAAGTTCAAGACCGTACTCCTAATGAAGGAATCAGAGGTCGGGAGAATCGGCCATTCTGGACTGGCTTTTGATTATATAATCTGTACATATATTTATGTATTTTTAGGGCTCGTCGATAGATACCTCGGTCTCACTTTTACAAATATTGACCAACCCAAAGGTGCTGTTTCGTCTACATGCATTTCCAGTTGTAGGGCCAGCATCTGCTGTTGCAGGAATGGGCAGGCCTGTCCGGGGAAGTACCAAGACCACAGAACTGAAGTGAAGTGCCATGTGTTACACTTTCGCGTTTCGCCCGGTGTGTGAGTAGCTCGGGCCTACTTTCGTAAGGGCTGGTGGCGCATCAGCAACTCCTAGGTACTGTAGGGACCTACAACACCTAGGAGTTGGGCGGCGGTGATAACTTAACATCTTGCAAACCAAAGCCTGTGTTTTTTTCAACTTTTCACAATAAAGAACATACGACTCGTTTGCAATTATTTGTATGTGTCTTGTTCATTCAGTGGCACGGTTGCCAAGTTATTGGCTTCGGCGCTGGGGATCGTGGGCTCGATTCCCACACGGGACAACTATTTGTTTGACACTATATATAAAATTGTATATAGTTTCATCATAAAATACATATAATTCATTTATTAATTATGAATAATTTTATTAATATACTAGCTGATGCGGCTAACGCTTTTTTGTGGAATTTCGCAAAATCGGTTCTTATATATATATATATATATATATATATATATACATTTATATATATATATATATATATATATATATATATATATATATATATATATATATATATATATATATATATATGTATATATCTAATATATAAAATTCTCGTGTCACGGGGTTCGAACTTGAACTCCTCCGAAACTGCTCGACCGATTTTTACCAAATTTTATATGCGTATTCAGTAGGTCTGAGAATCGGCTACTATCTATTTTTCGTCCCCCTAAATGTTAAGGGGGTAGTCCACCCCTAAATTTTTTTTTTATTTTTTATATAAAACTTTTTGTTTCTATTTTTTTATGACACAGCATACAAAAATACATACAACCCTAAATTTTCACCCCTCTACGCAGACGTAGTCGCGGGCAGCAGCTAGTATGGTATATATATACTACCAATGTCAATGACGACCCGATTGGCGTAGTGGGTCAGTACCCTGCCTTTTGCGCCAGAGGGTGTGGGTTCGATCCCCACTCCTGGCAAAATATTGTGTGACGAACATAGTGTTTATCCAGTGTCTGGGTGTTTATATATTTGTAATATGTATTTATTTACAAAATAAAAGTATGTTTATCAGTTATCTAGTACCCATAGTACAAGCGTTGGTTAGTTTGGGACTAGAAAACGTTGTGTTAAAATGTGTCCCGAAATATTTATATTTAATGGGCGCGTTGATTTTATTCCCGTGAGTTTCTCTCATATTATCGAGTCTGGGTCTTGCCTTTAAATTGCCAATCGCTAACGCGGGTACCGTAAAAAAGATTGCATTGAAATATGTTTAAATAATGCGTTAATTGCGGACAATATTTCACGATCATAAACTTTTTAAAAGAGTCGCAGAATGTAAAATATAAAAAATATAAATATAAATATGATACGTAAAACTTCGTACGCGAGTCCGAATCGCACTTTTTTTAAATTTATTATCACAGAAGGGAGCTTCATTTTTTAATTATAAAAAACATTGCCCTTACTTCAAGATAACATTATCCTGCTTGTAAGGACGTTTTACAAACATAAACTTCACGTGGACAAACACCCACGTGCGAAACAACCATCTGTAGGTCTCACAAATACTTCCGTGTGGCAATCGAATCCGCGACCCCCAACGCCGACGCTGATACCTTGGCACCTGCGCCACGGAGTCCTCCAAAAATATTTTTTTGGTTTCATTCGCACTGCACATGTATAGTTTTATTCGTACTACTGTGAAAAGCGTGTACACTCTACGTGGTAACGGCTAGAGAGGTGACGCTAAAAACGTCGAGCGTTCACCTGTCGGCTTAATGTGTTGGCTACCGTTGGACCGAACCAACCGCTTACCGTTGCCCCGTCGAGGGATTGATAAAATAAATGTAGAAATAGCACCGCTCTCATAATGCTCCGTCCTTAAAACGGGGAAGGCGTTCTTTTTTTATGTGACACTAGCGTCCCGCCCCGGCTTCACACGGGTGAATACATAGGTATAAACCTTCCTCTTGAATCACTCTATCTAGTAAAAAAACCGGATCAAAACCGTTGCGTAGTTTTAAAGATCAGAAGCATACATTGAGACAGACAGACAGCGGGATGACTTTGTTTTATAGTATGTAGTGAAGTTGCCAAGCGAGCACACGGTTAACCTGATCTTAAGTGAATACCGCCGCCCATGGACATCTGCTACACCCGAGTGTTGCAGATGCGTCGACAACCTTTTGAAAATTGGGCTCCGGCCACCTCACTCACCAGACGAAACGCGAAAGTATTATACTTCCACTTTACGCCGGTCTTCTGCGAGGTCGTGGTACTTACCCGGACGAGCCTGCCCATTCGTGCAACAGCCGAGGCTGCTGAGTGGCCCTTCCACCGTTGAAATATACATCACTTCGGTATACACCCTAACCCGATAATGCCGTTTGTATTATCTTCTATTTCTAGGTTGCCTGGAAGAGGTCTTCTTACCGATAAAGCCGGCTGTTGAACATATTTGTGTTCTTTGTTGTTGATTATACGATAACAGCTGTAGTGTAAAACAGATTATATTTTATTCATTTATTGATTAATTAATTCATTCTTTCATTAAATCATTCATACGAAAAAATATAACAAGTTGTTGATATTCGTTGACCACACTAAGCAAACCTGTCTTGTGGTGCTACGGTTTACAATTTAAAATTACATTGTTTGTTAGGGTGACATCTTAGATGTACATAAATATAACAATTTCAACATTAGTAATTTATATTTGTTTGTTACTACATAGTATAAAACAAGTCGTCCCGCTGTCTGTCTGTTAAAGATAAGGTAAGCATACATAGCTTAGATCTTTAAAACTACGTAAAAGTAAAAGTAAGCATTTAATTACTTGGCGATTCAGCCATATTAGCTCGAGCTGCTGAGTATTACATCTACTAGATTTCCGATCCTCTTCTGTGTTTTCAAAAAAAAATTATAGACCACCCTTTTTTAAATAATTAAATTAATTTGCTTCTGTTTCTTTTTTTTATGTGAAAAAGTGATAAACGAGCTGGTGGTTCACCTGTTCACCGGTTGCAGATGTGTTGCCTTTTAATAATGTGGGTTCTGGCTACCTCACTCACCAGACTTCTGTGAGGTCGTGGTACTTGCCCGGACGAACCTGCCCATTCGTGCAACAGCGAATACTGTTGCGCGGTCCTACCACAACTGACCTCCAGCTACTTACAAAGAAATTGATAAATATTTATCCTATAAACATATTAATAGATAGTAAAAATTTTACTCTCATAATTCTTTCCAAACGCGCCTAAAATATTGTATCTTCATCTCATCTTTTAAGAGTTTTTTGAGTCATACTGGTCATCATTTTCATCGTTTCATCCTGTTTTACTCTACTGCAGTAGAAAGCCCTCCCATACGGACCGCCATTTTAAGCTGAGTATAAAGAAAAAAAATTAATAATTTAAATTTATTAAAGTTTCGTACTTTCGTATGTTATAAAAACTTATGCAACGCCGAATGTACCGACGTAAATACGATTATACATTTAAGGTGCTACAAACAAACATAAAAATGTGAGAGAATAGGTGTTATACGAAGACTATTAACAATAGACATTCATCGTTTATGATGTTTATTCGTGAAAAATACGTTGACGTAAAAACATATCTTATGGATGTTAGACAATAAAATGGGGCTGTGAATCTAGTGCAGAAATTTAACAAATAATCTCTCTTACCATTTTGCTCTTTGGATGATTAATTGGACGTATTTTGTACACTATAATGAATTATTTTATTAAATAACCGCCGACGTGAGTATACACTCAAGTCGGCGCGCAATCCTGAAAAAAAAATGTAGTCAATCCAAACTTTTCGAACAGACAGCAGATTTGTGAATTTCAAAACGTCGAATACTTGATTAGTATGCGGTCACACACTGAAATCATTATCGACAAATCTTTATTTTTTTTTATTCGAATCGTTTTTTCATGATGAGTTTATTTATGAGCTTTGCAAATTTTAATTTACTTTATTTTTTTAGGAAGTTTCCTTTTTAAAAGCGAAACATTTGTCACGTGATCCGTTCCGTAGTTTTAAAGATAGTTGTTTTGCCATATAAGCATACAATAGGGACAGACAGACAGATAGCGGGACGACTTTGTTTTATACTATGTAGTGATATACCTAACAGAGAAGAGATAATTGTATTGTATTAAATCCTAAAAATTTAAAAATATTATTTGAATTTCATTGCAATATAATTATGTTTGTATCACATATTCACTCGTGTTCCAAGTTTAGTCATTCCGTAAAGGCTAATCAAAACGTCATTGAAAACTACGAATGATATATAATTCATTACGCGAACGGGAACGCGGAGCTTCGTTAACAGTTCATTGTCCTTAGCTTAAAAATCCTTTGTCGGTACGAAATGCACAGCCGGTAAGTCCATTCATACGCTGTTCTAGGCTAAGCGGGCTCGATTTCGTTGTTAAAAAGCGACATTCGCGACTATAGCAGCTTTACTCACGAGCGCCACAAGTGTCCGTTTCGTTAATTTCGGTTGTAATCTACAAAAGTGCGCGCTGCAAACGCGTACGCGAAATTAAATTACATCGGTAGCATTACGAGCATCGCTACGGGCAGTTTATTGACGCCGCATCCGCATGAACTTGAGTTTAAGCCTGTGCGAATGTCATCTAGCCTCAGTGCAACTGCAGTTCTGCGGAGGTATACACACGATCTATGCAACGCGCGCCCACGCCGCGACTAATAAAGCGGACGGCGTGCGCGGTACCGCGGCACGAGAAATTCTAAAGATAAAATTTTGAAAATCGAATCGCGCACGAAAAAAAAAAAAACAAAACAAACCCCCGAATGCACAAGTTCCAACGCGAAACTCCCGCTAAAACGGCGAGGCGCAGCGCGCGGGAAAGAGACGGACGTACCGCCCCGCAACCGCTATTTCGGTGACGTCGTCCGGTGCATAGCGAAATAAAATAATGAAAAGTGGCATTCAGTAATTTCGTTGTGTTTACGCGCGTTGCTAGTTTGTTCGGTTGTTGGCTACTATTGTGGTTGTTTTTTTTTTCTCTCTCTTTCAAATACAATCTCGCCCGCGCGTCTCCAGTCGTGTCCGTGGCGCCATCTACACGTGTCCTATATTCCAACAGCCCATAGTACACATGTTTGTAATTCGCGGAGCTGTCAAAACAATAGTAATAACCTCGCGATCGGACTCTGCAACAATGTGCGGGGAGGCGACACGTTTTTGGCGCGGTGAAACTGTGGCGGGACCGTATACCGGAAAATTGAACTAGCGGTTGGCTGTTTTTTTTTTACGTCGAAACTTAACCTACGACAATCTTCAGTTGCGCGCGAGCGGCCCCGCACGCGCTTCGCGCCGGATCCGCCAGGAAAGACGAAAATCCGCCGAATGGACGCCGAGGCGGCCACGAGTCCCGCCGAATTCGATTTTCGAACTTTCCATAAGCGCGCCCCGAACGTTCCATTTTCGAAAGCGGCCAAACACGACGTCCGCAACAACGACCACCTCATAAAGTGACCAGTCTTCGCTTCGCTCAATTTTGTGATGTAGACATAGTGCCTTCTCTGTACAAAGTAATGGAATTTTCGTGATGACATAGTGCAAAGTTAGATAAACCTAGTTTTTAAAAGTGTATGTGTTTAACACGAGTGGGACCAATAGTACGTTTCTTCTTGTTTCTTATGGACAAATACTGCTTGCATTCAATAAGGTGAGTAAAACTTACGTGTAGCGAGCGATTGCTGCAGTGGTTACAGTTATAATTTAATTCATGCCGATGGAACGCCAATCTTAATCTATGAACTTGATTGCACACGCGTGAAGGCGTCTGCGAGCCGGCTGCATTCCTAGTGCACAGAGCAACTTCACTGTGCTATCGGGGTCCGAGCGAAACTAGCCTCTATCGCTGGGCTGTTGCGCAAGTTTTCGAGTGGAAACTCGTGTGCACTCGTCAATTTTGGGTTGACGAACTTGCGAGAGATATTTTCGTATTGCAAGACGCACTTCGGTATTGCCAGCAAGTCCATTTTTCTACCGATTAAACCTGACGGACAATGCCTCCGCGTTCATATATATAGGACAAAGCTAGTGTCTAGGTTACTGAACGGATGCGCGAATTAGACCTTCCAATGAAATATGTATAGAGCATGATATATAGCAATATAGGTGCATACACGCGTTCGTAAACAACTTGTTTCGTGACAACTATTCAACACGTTTTGTACCTGTTCCATTTTATTATGAGTCGTTCATTTTCTGTACCATTCAACGAACCGCTCTTTTATGTAATTAACTAAGTTAAGGTTATATGCTTCTGCGGAAATTTTTGATTCGGAACCTTGAACATAATTTATCGTTCAAGGTTTTTAATCGAAAACATAGTTATATATCATAATATATTGTGTGGTAGGGATATATAAATGTTGTATAAAAATTGTAATATAATAGAAAGTTTCATACACGATGTATTAAGCTGATATATTTATCTGTAGGAATAAGATTACGTATCTGACATATTTGTAGTCGCTTTTCAAGAACATCAGCTTTTTATACTTGTACTAGCTGATCCGGCAAACGTTGTTTTGCCATATAAATTATTTGTAGGGTAGAAAAAAATGTTTGGGGTGGACCACCCTTAACATTTAGAGGGATGAAAAATAAATTTTGTCCGATTCTCCACCCTGGCCGATGTGCACATAAAATTTCACGAAAATAGGTCGAGCCGATTCGGACGAGTTCAATTACAAACACAGTGACACGAGAATTTTATATATTAGATTACAACAATCGCCTAATACTTATTATGATTATACATACTAACACGATAAATTCTATAAGTAGCTTGTTACCTTGATAAGCCTTTTTGTCCCTTATGGTCGCTTTTAAAACCTTATACTAAGGTTTTAAGGACCGACAGTCATGAATTCGTGAACACACAACATTTTGAAACTTAGACAGGACAGGTTATTCGAGAAGTGTTAGTTAAAAAGAGTTTCTCTCAATAAAGAAATCTTCATAGACCGTTTAGATCGATTTAATAAGAGAAAATCTGGTATAAATCAGCCTAAACTAGATCTGACCAGAGTTGGGTCTTGTACCTTTTGGACCTGGACTGGTTCCAACCATTACAAGGCAAATTTATAGATTTATTGCGAATTAAGTCTCCAGCTCCCATAGAATATGACAAGCCTGTCACCGAGCAGCGGGTAGAAGTGTGAGATAGGTAATCGTCAGTATATTCTCCGGTAATACCACAAGTCGATGCCACAGTCAGATCATAATCGCTCTCCATTCGAGGAAGATGAGTGGAAAATAACTCCACCAGTCCAGCGCCGTTGTTAGAACAATATTAGTTAACCCAAAAAAAGATATTACTTTCGCTAGCGCTCCATCCGACGAATTTTTGAAGTCCAAAGGACATAAATATAGCATTTTTATTGACTTAAAACAAAACTAGCTTCTATCTCCAAATTGATTTTGAGAGGTTTCCTGGAGTATCTTTGATTGGTGGTCCAAGATTCAATGACAGTGAAATTAAAATGGCCGCATTAAAAATATCTCGTATCAACAAAAACAACCCCAAATCGGTTTGTAAATGACGAAGCTCTGGGGGTAACAAACAAAAAACAACCGGATTGAGAAACTCCTTTATGGCGTCAGTTGAAAAAGCACAAACTTTTGTTTCATATTTGGCAGTCCATATTTTACAAGCATAGACATGCGTCTTGCATATAAAAGACAGAAGTGCTGACATTTGTAAAACCGATACATTATTATATAAAAAGGTAAGTAAAGTAACAGCCTATAAATGACCTACAGTTGGACAAAGGCCTCCTTTGTACACAGGATTTTAGGGCATAGTCCTAGGGCCTCACTGCGGATTGGCGAACTTCACATATCGGCGAAATAATTTTTTTTGTTATTATTATGAAATATGGAGGTTTCCTTTAACCTTGAGCTAGTGATAAGTAAGCACTTAATATTAACAATTTCATTGGTGCTGGCACCTGGATTTGAACTCAGGCTGCTCGAGTATATTGAATTAAAGGCGAGCGCCCGAACTGAGCTGTCACGGCTAAACTTTCTAATATTCACCCTAATTGGGCCCAATTTGAAAAGGTTGCCAAATCATCTGGAACCTTCGGGTGTAGCAGATGTCCATGGGCGGCGGAATTCACTTAACATCAGGTGAACCGTCTGCTCGCTTGGCGAATTTTCACATAAAAAAACTCTCTAATAGAGCAATCCGTAATTTGCCGTGCGGATAAATTATTCCGTTTGTTCCATTGCATCGCTTTCCATTGCTTCGGAGCGATCGATCATTGCCGCATTGGATTAGCGAGGCGGGGAAACAAACGTTCGCACTTCTATGTTCTCCGCGCTAGGAGGCCTATCGGATTGTCGTCACGGGGCAAAGACCGTAAGTGGCAACGAATGAACCTCCGCCGAGCACAGTGGTCCCACGCAGCAGTCTTCGCTGTTGCACGAATGGGCAGGACCGTCCGGGAAGCCACGGCCGCACAGAAGAAGTGGAAGTGTTGCACTTTTGCGTTTCGACCGGTGGGGGGCGTCCACGAACCTTTAAAAATTCAAAGAGACAAAGCCAACAGGCTTCTTACACAGGTAGATATTTTGACGGGCATTTTTAAAATAGAAAACACGAATAATATGATGCAGATCATACGAATATTGATTGTTTCACCGAGTCTACGATGATCAGTGAGCAATACCATCGAAATACTTCTTTTATTACTTGTTATAAAAGGGCTTTCTCGCTGAGGGATAACGTCGGTTATGAAAAAATGTAAAAATTAATCGACAAAACCTTTTTTGACAGAACTTTGTTATTAATAAAGCCATCATTATAACATCAAGTTTTTCTTCTACTAACATCAGCAATCCTGGCTGAAATCCCACCCTCATCTTACGCTGGAGAAACTACGGTACTGCTCACAGAGCCAACATTATTTTTTTAGTTATCATTTTGTACTTGGTACTTGTCACAATACTAGAGTTCACACCGATTTATAGAACAAATTTTTTTGAAAGTCGATATTCCGTGTTTCTCACCACACATTATTCCAAAATATCTGAACGAAACGAACGGACATGAGATAAAGTCACATTTTGCATAACTAACGCGGGTGCATAACGATCTACTCTCATCCACCATAATATAAATGAGATTTAAATTTAAACGAGTTTGGAGTTGTTACAGCTACCACCAAGGGTGAAGCAGTATGTATATGTTCTTTTCAATGACTTATTATTTGATTTTTTTTATGTGAAAAGATGTCAAACGAGCAGACGGTTCATCTGATGTTAAGTGAACACCGCCGCCCATGGACATCTGCCACACTCGAGGGTTACAGATGCGTCGACAACCTTTTGAAAATTGGGCTCCGGCTACCTCACTCACCAGACGAAACGCGAAAGTATTTTTCATACTTCGACTTTACGCTGGTCTTCTGTGAGGTCGTGGTACTTACCCGGACGGACATGCCCATTCGTGCAACAGCCGAGGCTGTTGCGTGGCCCTACCACCGTAAAATTGATGCTGTAATTTAAATAATATAACATCAAATCGTTAGTATTCTACGATGTTCTATTGTCATCAGTTTTAGGGAAAATCCATTGTAATATGACACATCAATGAGTTTACTATTTACGACACTGAAATTACTGTTTAGAGGTATGACAGAGCTTGTTGTGAACCAACGTGAGTTAGTAAAACATTTTTGTGAAGCTATAATAAAGGCAGATTTGGTTGAAAAGAGACAGGCTGATGGAGAATATGATCCTCAATGTTTTTAAGTGTTGATAACTTCTTGGAAGTATTTTATGACTCACAAATACACGTATCCTCAAAAATGTCAAGTGTATATTTGGATATTATTTAAAAGTTATTTCTGTCACTTCTGACCTTATAGCGATATAAACCGCAGAGTTTAAAATAGCTTTAACAGCCCCTTATGAGATATTAATACAGTTCAGCGTAATAAATTGGCTCGAAAGTTAGGTATCTCTATTTCACAAAGTATACGCGATGTTCCAATGTTTATACAGGGCTGATTAATGGTCACACTAATGGTTCAACTATGATTAGTTGTAAATCTAATGGTTCAATTAGGGGCTGCAACTCTTGGTAACTTTATGAATTCCACTCTTGCTATAGTCGAAATATAAAGAGAAAGAATCGAAACAAAATAGGTCTGTATTCATGTTAAAACCATTACATTACTTGAGGGGAACATACAAAAAAAATGCTGAGCATTGCATGCATTTTTATGCAATCATCATCGTGGCCGATTTCATCTGGTCTGGTAACCGGGACCCAATCTCCTAATGGTAGACAACGCACTTCAAATAAGCCCAATTGTAAGCGACCTCAACATAATGATTGTATCAATGAAAAGATGTTCGGTGCTGATTCGACGTTATAAAATAATAAAACTATGGCGTTAGATTTGTCCTTGAATCAACGTCAATCGTTTGTAAGACTTCGTCGGTTAGCG